AGGAAAACAGAAATGATGGAAAGGCTAGAAAGTAGATTTGCGGGGAAAAAGATCTCTGCCTCCACTGGGTCTTGAATAGGAAAAATAATAATAAAAAATTGTGAGAAGAGTATTTGAGGACAAATTTATAACTGACAGAAGGACCTGAAAGCCACCAAATGACTTAATAAGGGAAACAGTGGGATTTTCTTCACTAGAGAGCTTTAAGGAAAGAGTATTATCGCCTTCCAATTAGGGTTTCATGTCTGTTCTCCCCAAAGGCGTGTATACTTGAAACCCCTCCTGGCCCCATAAGAAGATTCTATGGTCCTGATGAGATTGTGTGCCTTAGAATCACTGCTCCTGGAAAGGAGAAGCTAAAAGGTACTTGAATAAAATATTAAAAATTATGAAGGACATAACAAAGGCCAATCAGTCCTTTCTTTTCCGCAGACCCATAATAAGAGAACAGGGTTATTTGATGAAATTAAAGAGTAGCAAATTAAGTGCTAATAAAAGGAGATAGTTGCTTATATAATTCATTGCCATGGGAGGTCACAGGCAAATGCTGTGGCTGGAGTAAATATGGGGCTGGATAATTTTATGACCACTAATATATTTTTAGCAGTTGGGGCTGATATGGTGAGAGAAGTAATCCTACTACATTCTCCGACAGATGGTTTGCAGGGACCTCTGGCAATTGGTGTCTGAGGAGTGTAGGATCAGGCCTCCCAGGTTCTAACCTTTGATGGGAATTATACTGAGTATTGGTTTTTAAAAGAATGTCCTCAGGCCCTTAGACAGGCATCCCATTCATGCTTTAATCCCAAATGCTCTTGTGGAGATCCGAAAGTTCTTTCTAATCAGAAGCAATTGGAAGAGACATTGCCCAGAATTAAGTCATTTCTAGTCTTTGGGAGTCATTCAACTTATTTATTGAATGCTACGTATGTGTCAGCCAGTTTTTAAAATTTCTCTTGAGGATACAAACGTTCAGACAAATCAATGCCATTCATTGTGAGGAGTGCCATACTAAAGGTAGACTGCAAAGTAGCACAGGAGCACAAAGACGCAGAGGAATAATAGCTTAACGTATGAGCCTCAGGGAAGGTTCACAGAGGAGGCGACATTTAAACTGAGTCTTAAAGGGTGATAAGAGTTCACTATACAGGAAAGGTAAGGAAGGGCATTCTAGGAGAAGGAACATGCATAGATCCAGAGACAGGACGTGGCATAACGTGTCATGGAACTTGCAGGAGTTTAGAGAAGTGGTACCACAGGGCTAAGGGAGAGAGAGGCAGGAGATGTGCATGAGAAGGAGAAGGGAGCCAGATGGCAGAGGGTCCTAGGATTGCCAGAGAACTCTTTCCAGCAGCAGTACTTCCAGTAGTGAAGGTGGTAGTGGGTGGGATAGGGAAGAAGGGGAGAGGAGTTTAGAGGATGTGTCTATGACTGAGAAGGGACAGCTCCACAAAGCCTTGCCCAGCCTAGTCATTGGCTTTCTCTTCTGACCACTGTCATTAGTTGCTTCCTGAAGAGCCTTGTATTTCACACAATTTCTTGCTTTGCTCGTTTTTACTTTTGGCCTGAAACCATTTTTGTCATAAACTTTTATTTAAAAAAAAAAAAAAGCCCCTACTACAACCCCTGCCTTTGGGAAGAGGGAGGTTCCTGTAGGTCTTGGATTAATTGGTCTTATTCTCTTGGGATCTACCTAGAACTAAATCAGCCTTTGGGTGAGGAAGAAGAGGCAGGTTTCGTTTGCCTGACCTTCGACTCCCAATTTCCTTGGCTCAGGAAACAAGCAGAAAAGCGTACAGTGTCTTCGAGGAGCAGATGGATTAAAATTTTAAAAATCTGTTTTGTTAAATTATTTCAGCTAACAGAATAACTAGAAAAAAAAAATACCCAAAGTGTTCCCTTTTTAGTGATATTTAAGTATCATTATTAATCACTCAGACTCTTAAGCTTGGGGTTTCTACACCATTAATACTGATATTTTTAAGAAGAATCAAATGGAGATGGAAGAGAGAATGTCTTTTGTGATAACTGGTTTCCTTTGTGGTCTTTGTGGTTAATGCAAATACTTAGTTACTATATGTGCTGTAACAGTACAGCATGCAGTTAGCAGTTTTTTCTTATCACATTATAAAGAGTTGTGTAGCTGGGACATACTTTCTAATAAATAACCTTTTTTACAGTAGTTTTTCAAGACTCTTCTAAGAAGATAATTCCTCAGCAACATAGAGTTGCTAGTGGGATATAGAAATATGGTTAGTTACCTTCTAAAGAAGGTAGATGGATATGTGCCCAACTTACCGTGAAACCACCTATGTTATAGAGTGTCAGTGGATGAAGTTGAAATACATGTGCACCAGGCAGTATGTTTAGTGTTAAACACTCAAAGATGAATAAGATCATGACTCACAATATAATAACTACAAGAGAATTCACCGTACCTCCTTGCTGAATTAGATAGTGTGGTATGTTCTATAGTAGAGGGATATCCAAATGGTAGCTCTGCCTGGGCAACTGGCAGTGTTTCACAAAGCTGACATTTAGGCAGAATCTTGTAGCAATTCCAGTCAACTGGAAGAGAATGGAGGTTGGGAATGAGATAGGAGAGGGCATTTCAGAACTCAAGAAACAGAGGTGTCTCCTGGAATTTTGAATGGCTTGTTTCTTTTCTGTCCTTTTATTAATTTCCATTATTTCAATGTTGTTATTTCTAGTATGTTTAGAAAAGTTATCTTTGAGGAAAGAGCAGGCTGTGCTGTGTCAACATTTTGTAGATACTAATCTTGTCAGTAAGGGGTTAGTAATCAAAAATTCCGTTTAGCTCCAGCATTAATTCACTGAAGTATTTATTAATCGTTTACTCTCCTGGACTGAATGTGCACACATAAGTCTTTGCTGTCAGAAGTGAGGCACATGGCATGGGTAGCACGTTTTCCCCCATTGTTAGACATGTCCATGCAATGAATCAATACAGCTTCTTCCAGTTCCAAATGTACTCGATTTTAAAGGAAGTGTGCCTTTCCATGACTGGACTTCCTTCAACAAGATTACTTATTTGTAGTTATGTGAAAGTGAAACATAAGCTTTTAAAAGAGCTTTTATGCCAAATGATAAATGTATCCTTTCAAGGACTGTGTAAAAATAGGTGAATGTATTTACTAAAACTTTAAGTTTCAAAAAGTGTTGTTCTTTCCGCTGCAGACCTTAGCTGGATCTCCAATATACAAGTGAATCAGCCAGCAGTTCTAAGGCGTGCAGAACAAATCCAGGCTCGCAGGACCGTAAAAAAGGAGTGGCAAGTAAGGATTCTTCTCGAGCCTTCTGTTCTGTATTTTACAATGCATGGTCTCTTCCCTCAGGGCCACAATATTGAATTTCGCTCAAGATGCATCTAAACTTAAAAGGTTGCAGCTGTCCATGACTTATTTTAATAATTCATATATGATGATGATGGGTTGGAGAAAGATAACACGTTTATCCAAACAAGTTAAAAATCTTATCACTCTTGAGTGGCAAAATCACAAATGAGTTTGAGGCATCTTTATTCATGAGTGAAGTAAATGACATATTTTCTTAACACATTTGTTCAGTTTCTTAGACATGCCTTCTTTGCCTGTCTCCTATTTTAATTTTAGAACCATAACGTCCAAGCCTGGTGTGTCCACTGTTGAGACCCTTAGGTATAATAGTCGACCTTCTTTGACCATCATGTTTACCTTGCTTTTAATTTTCATAAATCATTTTTCAAAATTCAAAAAAATGATGTTTCAAAGAGTACTTGTGGTCAGCATATTCTTCAATGAATACCAACCAAAGACATGCTCCGCGTCACAGGACTAAAGGAAATTCAGAGTTTGTTTCACAAGTGAGGCAGAATATTGTTATTGAATCCTTTAGGGTGACATTTCATATTTTGTTCATCACTGGAAATATTCTCATTGAAAAGACAAAAGGATATTCTTCAGAATGAATTGTGAAATATCAGTATTGTTTTAAAAATGGAATTGAATTAAACTAAAAAAAAAGAAGTTGGAGTCTCTTATTTTTATTCTCATCCCAGCTCCAGGTCCAGAGGTAAAATGTAGGATAGCAGCTTTGCTCCCATTTCTCCCACAATGAGAGTGGGCTCCTTATGGATGGGCTGGAGAAGATGTGATCTGCTAGGGGTTTTAATTTGGGATATCTTTAGGAGAGAAAGATTTTTTTCTAAGGCTAGAGTTGGATTATTCCTACCACCATCTTTTTTTTTTTATTATCTTGGATAATGTTTATCTGCCTAACCACTCCTGAGCAATGTTTATATCATACAGACAAATGATATGGCTTAGAACACAATGTAGACATCAGAATTTAGCAACCCTGTTTGTTCTAATGATTGTCTAACTAACTGGGTAGGAGATTGATTTTTTACCTTGCTTTTATTTTTTTTCAAACCAGGCTGCTTGGCTCCTGAAAGCTGTTACCTTTATAGATCTTACTACACTTTCTGGCGATGACACATCTTCCAACATTCAAAGGCTCTGTTATAAAGCCAAGTATCCAATCCGGGAAGACCTCTTAAAAGCTTTAAATATGCACGACAAAGGTAATGTTGTGTATAATCTGTCCAGTTTTACCTAGTTATACTAGGCACTAAATCTAAGGACTCAATACAAGATTTAACTGCTGTACTGAGATCAGTAATAAAATCCATAAGAGAAACCCTTGCCATGTGTGCATAGACAAATAATTCAGATTCTTCTTTGAAAAACAGCAGGGAGAGAATCTGATTCTTGTTTTTAAGGTCAGTTCTTTCCATCATGAATTAAAGTTGCTGGTAGAAAGTTTCTTTATATTTCTTCCCAGTTCTTCAGTTTTGGAAATTTTCTATCTAGTGGCTCTAAAATACTGATTCTGATTCCCTAGCCACATGTGAAAAAGCCAGTCTCATTACTTAATAATCATATCTCATACATAAAGTATTTTCTATGAGTAAATCAAATACTTTTGAGAATAAAATGCAAATGGAATATATTGAATGCTTGTAGATTAGGTTAGATCCTTTGAAAAAAAGCCTTATTCACTCCCTTAGCACACACAAGAGAACTTTGTAAAGTTACCATAAGTTTAAAACCTTAACATTTTAGAAATGGAGGAGACTTCTGAGAGTCGATCCCCTTATATTCTAAACAAGGAAATCGAGACCTGGAAAGCTGAGTGCCGTTTCCAAGATGGTATGTCTTGTTACTGGCTGGGCTGGTTTTAGGAGCCAGATCTCATTTTCATAGAGGCATCCTTCTTGGCTCCTGAGTGCCTGTCTGTAATGAGTGTGATTTGAGATGTTGAGTTGGCCCAATGCAGGTATTTTATCCCAAATAATCTGTAGATGATTTATAGACCTAAAGAATTCTACAGCTTTTAAAACATGCTTATCATGTTCTTTTTGAGTTTACAGTCATACCACCTTATTTATAACACTTTAAAGTAACAACTTTGTATGAGTCTTTTGATATTACTTCATTTAATATAGGATATTTGGCTCTATTTTATTTTCTTTCTTTCAAAAGAAGGAATGTTTTGTTGTTGGTAGATGGTTTCGAGTCATTTTCAACTCAGAGCAACCCCATGTGACAGAGTAGAACCGCCCATAGGGTTTTCTTATTTGTAATTTTTATGGGAGCACATCATCAGGTCTCTCTCACATGGGGCTGCTGGATGGGTTCAGACTGCCAGCCTTTCGGTTAGCAACCAAATGCGTAACCATTTGTACCTCCAAAAAAAAAAACCAAACCCATTGCCATCGAGTTGATTCTGACTCATAGCAACCCTATAGGACAGAGTAGAACTGCCCCATAGAGTTTACAAGGAGCGCCTGGTGGATTTGAACTGCCAGCCTTTTGGTTAGCAGCCGTAGCTCTTAACCACTACACCACCAGCATTTCCAAAAGAGGGAATAGGATTAGTTAAATATCATTTTGCTGTGCAACCCTATACGGTCTTTCTTTGTCAAAGTGGTGTAGTTCTCTTATGTTTTTTCTTCATCCACTATCCTGTTTAAATGCTGTAGAAACCTGGATTTTGTTATTTACATGAAATAAAATGCTTCCATTGAGTCATAACCATCACATTTACAATTTAGGAATTTCAAAAAGATGGTATTCTATTAACCTCAAAGAACAATGTATCAAAATTATTTTATTCTGTAACTATAATGATGAGAAAATGATTCATGGTATCAAGAACTGGAAGGGAATGTGGAAAGTAAAATCCTTTTAATTTGTTACAGCATCGTGGGGGAGTGATTTTTTTCTCTCATTTGAATTTCTGCTAGTGTTGTACCAGAAATAATAATGAAAAGCGTATTGTGTCCGTTGAGCTTCATATAAAGTAGACTGTTACGATTTTTTTCTTCATAGGCATCACTACAGCCGCTGTCTGTGTTTATCCTGCCCGAGTGTGTGATGCTGTAAAAGCACTAAAGGCCGCAGGCTGTAATATCCCGGTGGCATCAGGTAAAACTGGCTGTGGCTTTTACTGTTGTTCTCCAGCAAGTTCTTGGTTCTTCAACTCAGATCTCTCGGAGTATTATATGCAGTTGTATACTATCATTTTAATTGGCTTTCTATATTTAATGAGTTGTATTTATTCATTCTTTTACTATTTGTTAGTTGCCTAGTAAGTAGCAAGGAGCCCTGGTGGTGCAGTGGTTAAAGTGATTGACTGCTAACCAAAAAGTCGGTGGTTGGAAACCACCAGCGGCTCCCTGGAAGAAAGATATGGCAGTCTGCTTCCATAGAGATTTACAGACTTGGAAACCCTGTGGGGTCACAATGAGTCGGAATCGACTTGATGGCAGTGGGTTTAGTGGAGTAGGTAGCAGACATTCTGTTAAGTCTCAGGAACACAGAACTGCATCCCTGTCCTTAAGGAAACTCAGTTGTTTAGGAGGGATGTTCAGGTTAAAAAAAAATCGTAATGCAGGATGATACATATAATAGAGATATGCAGAAGGTACAGTTGTAACTCTGAGCAGGAAATGGCTTATTGTGCAGAGGTTGGTGACACTCAGGGTCAAGGAATGCTTCGTAGAGGAAAAAATACTTGCATTAGGTCTTAAAGGATGAGGAAGACTTTATAGTACTGACAAGATGGGAAATGACATTTTGGACAGAGGAAATCACGTGCGAAGGCACGGAAACATATTCAGGAATTGTTGAATCATAAAGTTGGACGAAGGGAAAGATATGGCAGTTGGGAGGCGGAGGGGTGGATTGCAGCCCGGCCATGTAGGGAATGGCATACCATTCTGTGGGACTTGAGCTTTATTCTGGGGATGGGGGAGACACTGAAAGGTTTTCAGCAGAAGTGTGACCTGGTCAGCTCCACGTCATAGTAAGTTAACTGATAATAGTGGACAGGTTGGAAAGGGTGGGAGTATAGTTAGGGAGGTTCATCACATTTCACATGGGAACCACACCAAGACCTAGAAGGTAAGAGGGAGAGGGCACTTCAAGAGTTAATCACGTAAGCTAGACTCAGTAGGACTTGGCATGAAGGAGAGGAAAGTCTTAAAAGCTTCACTTTAGGAAATGGCATATCTATGTGCATGTGGATAGATAGATACACAGTTAGATTCTACTTCTAACAGGATCCTGGTGCTTTCAAAAGCAGTCTATAAAGACCATTAACTTATTTTATCAGGGATACATCAAACAAGACATAGTATGTAATATTTATATGCCATCTATTTGTGAAGATTCCCAGAGTACCTGGCAGCTATACCTTTGTAGACCTTAATTTCTCATCAGCCTCAGTCAGCTCAGCTTTTCCTTTATACAGCTGGGACATGTGCTTTGCTCTGAGGTAGCAAACCCAAAGAATTTAATAACATCAAGGAAACACAATAGGTTAACTTTAGATGTGGGAATATAATTAAAGATGTACGTGTAAATATTTTTACATAACTTTGACAAAAATGTAGTATTTTAATTTTCTGCCCATTTATACCTGCCTCTGCCATCCCCAGCTCTATCCCCAGCCAAGTATTGTGGACTGTAAAACTAGGGGGGTGGTGTCTGACCTCCTCTAACTTCACTAAGGGGGAGAATCAAGATCAACAGCCCAAGGCTAATTCCTGTGAGCCGGAGGTCAGACATACCTCCTCCTCCTCTCTCCAACCTTTTTACCAGTTTGGACACAGTTGGACAACAAAGCACTCTCCCCACCCGCCCCCAAGCCACTTCTTTGTCTGCTTCTCTGCTGAGTTCAGTAATTTGTTGCAATGGCCACACAGAATTCACAGACAATACTCACAATTCTGGGGTTTCTTAGAGAAGTAACAGGTTACAATTCAGGATCAGGAAGGACTCAGGATACAGTTCTTCGATCAGGACAGCTTCTTCTCAGCTGTGCCCACAGGCAGGCCTCTCTCTGCCCCTCAGCCCCTCAGCTCCTGCCCTGCTCTGTGTTACAAGTGTTAGAAAGCTCTTTAGCTCTGCCAATAAGCGTCAGCCTGAAGGCAACCAACTCTCTCACTCCACAGGTCGGCAAACCTAGCTCTGCCAACTGCCCAGAGCTACCCCACTCCACCAGTAAGCCTGTCACCCCGCACTTAGCTCTCTCGTTCTGTGGGTTGGCACACCCACTGTAGCCACCTCGCTCCATGGCCCGGGCAGTCCACCTCGCTGTCTCACACAGGTCTCCGGGTTCTGCCGCCTTTGTTTGTCTGCCACTGCTTCTCGCCGTTTTGCACTGTCTCCAGTGTTACAGCTCGCTCTCTCTGTCCTGGATCTAGGAGGTGCTCAGTGCAGGGGCCCTGGCTCCAAAGGACACGCTCCACTCTGGCTTTTCTTCTTGCTGGTAGTGAGGTCCCCTCTTTCTGTCTCTGGGATGGCTCATTTTAAGCCTAGAGGGATGGCAAAAGAGACCAATCCCCTAGTTATTGTACCATGCACCTTATTTGCATTGTTCCACTCCTACAGGGGTGCCAGGCACCTTATTTGCATTATTAGCAGACTGTCCATTCCCCTTGGTGGGCCACAAGCATCTTATTTGTGCAGTCCCACCCAATCATTTTGTGGATGTTACAAAATCATGGCAAGAAAGGCCGTATAAAAGCAATTCATTGCACCGCAAGCCACCCCCTGTGGACTAGATAGGTTCCTTTCCTTCCTGCATTCCTTTCCCTCAGTCCCTTCTATGGGAGGAGCCTATATTACAGTTTGGTTACAACAGCTGAAGAGGTTCATGAATGAGTAAATCAAGAAATGTACAATGATAGCCAACTTGATCAATGGTGGGGTCCAGAATTAACCAGTGCTCATTCAGACAGGGCTACAATTAACTATTTTCTGACAATTATTGTGACAATAACGTATTTTCTAATTGCCGGTTACTTAAGGCATTCTCATGAACATTTCTGGAGCAACTTAATTTCGGTTTTCTGGAGGATAATATTTGTCCTAACATCAACACTGTGAAATAACCATCCTTCTTCACAATTGCTTTGAAGGATATGTATAAAGTTCTTAATGCTTTTGTCTCTGTTTGCTCTTTTTTTTTTTTTGGTCTGAATTTTGTTGAGATACTGACCTGTTGAAATTTGTTTTTCCTTCCAAACCGTCTCCTTTTCTTTATTTCTTTTTAAAATCTCTTCTAGTGGCCACTGGCTTTCCAGCTGGACAGACTCATTTAAAAACACGATTAGAAGAGATCAGATTGGCTGTTGAAGACGGAGCTACGGAAATCGATGTGGTAATTAACAGGACCTTGGTGCTGACAGGCCAGTGGGAAGGTGGGTCCATAGCCTCACCTGAGAGGGACCCACAGTTCTACCTGAGGGGATCAGATGGTGGGGACTTGGTAGGAGGCAGCATATTTTGGAAGTCACTGTTCTAGATTACAGGTCCCTAGATCATAGGTGAACATAGGAGAAAACATGGCTAGGATTGCTCATCCTGGGACCCCTCTTATGTCTAGACAGTTGCCTCCCTGCGTGAACATTTTGGATCCCTTTGAGTGCTTAGGGTGAATAGTTATTTCCATGCAGGAGATTCATTAACTTTTTTTAAATTTTATTTTACCATGATTCTTACCCTTTGGAAGGAAAAAAGTTACTAATATTCTATACTGCTTTGATACTCAATACGTAAATCATCCCAGCCAACTCTTTTTTGCAAAGTTTGTTCAAGCATGATGGAGGAAAGGTCTCTTTTTTATGTTAATTGTTGTGGGTTTTGAGGATGTAGGGTTATGAATAGTCTGCTTAGATTTTGCTAAATCTGTTTTCACTCCTGGTATTCTTAACACATAGCTCCTATGAATATAATTTCATGTTCACATTTGCGATTTATGATTTACTATCACAACAGATTATAATAAGACATTTTCTATTGCAATAACAAGCTATTGTTTCTGTTACTAGATGTTAAAGAATCAAATAGATTTTACCTCTGCCTTAAATATATTATGCATACTAAAAATGAGGTTGTTGATAGCTAAAGTGAGTGCAGCTCTCAGTCATTATGACAAGTAGTTTAATCAGAATCTTTTAATGAAGTCGAAGGTAAAGCCATAATAATACATTGTCTCTTTGAATCTGTGTATTCTAAATAAAAGGCATATTTTATTCTGATTATGAAAATTATACCTGCTCATTGTTTTAAAAAAAAAAAAAGCCAGTAATAAAGGAAATAGAAATAACCCCTGATCATACTGCAATGCCTAACTTCCAGACTTTTTCCTCTTCATATGAATACACATGCATCCCCCCTCCATTTTTTAAAGTTTAAAAGATATGATTATATTTAATGTATTTTTCCTTAACTTGCTTATTGCACTTGCCGATATCTCACGGAGATCTTTCCGTGACTCACTGTCTCCATCTATCAGTCTGTCTTATCCTCCACAAAGCCTAATTCCATTGTTTATCTGTTATGAAATGGCTTTGGTTATGGAGGAGCAAAGATTCAGCCAGTGGTTTAAACACTGGATCTCTCTAGTGTTTATGAAGGGGGTAGACATTGACGGGTGTTGTGACAGCCTCACAGAGTTCTCGGAGACTCAGGCTACTTATATGTTCATTTCCAAAGCATGTGGCTTCTACTTTCATGCACAGTGACACTCCATTGTCTGAGATGGCCTCTGGAGTGTCAGCCTTTATACTTAACTCCCAGACAACAGGAAGGAAAGGCTTGTCCCATCTGAAAGTCTCCCACACCACTTCTCCTTACACCTCACTGGCCAGAACACAGTTACATGGCCATGCTTGGCTGT